GAGTAGCTGGGATTACAGGCACGTGCCACCATGCCCAGCTGATTTTTTGTATTTTTAGTATAGACAGGGTTTCACCATGTTGACCAGGATGGTCTCGATCTCTTGACCTCGTGATCCACCTGCCTCGGCCTCCCAAAGTGCTGGGATTACAGGCGTGAGCCACCATGCCCGGCCCAGATATGGCTCTTTTCTTGATATAGGTAAGTATAAAAAGCCTCTTAAGTGAGTACTGCATGTTATTCAATAGAATCATCCCAGGTGGGAGAAAAGAAAACAGAGACCAGAAACCAAGTCTGGCCAGTGTCCCAGAGCTAGTTACCTTTAAGGGGATAGTCTGGTTATCACTTGAGTGTGCTGCTTTTACATTACAGTGAATGATCATCTTGCAGGTAGGCAGAAGGAACAACTTTATCTTAATTCTGCTTTTCTATACAAGCACAGACATCTATAAAAAACTTTCATCTGGCCAGGTGTGGTAGCTCACGCCTGTCTGTAATCCCAGCACTTTGGGAGGCCGATGCAGGTGGATTACGAGGTCAGGAGATCCAGACCATCCTGGTCAACATGGTTATACCCCGCGTCTACTAGATATACAAAAATCAGCGCGTGGTGGCGTGCCTGTGGACCCAGCTACTTGGGAGGCTGAGGCAGGAGAATCGCTTTAACCTGGGAGGTGGAGGTTGCAGTGAGCAGAGATTGCCACTCCACTCCAGCCTGGTGACAGAAAGAGACTCTATCTCAAAAAAACAAAAAAAGCACACACAAAACAACAACAACAACAAAACACATGGAGACAGCTTTTTAAACAAAAGGAGGCCCATTTCCTGGTACAACACAAGTGAATTAAATGTAGAATTGTAAACCCTGACTGATGTCTACATCCACCGAGCTCAGTCTTGTGAACCACTCCCTAGACCCCAACCCAACTTGCAATTTGCCATCTGAAAGCTATCCCGAGACCCTCAGGCACTCTGTACAGCTGCAGCCGTGGGTTCTTCTCAGTAGGCCTGCCCTGGGCCATCAGAAAGACCCATTCAAAGGGCATCTCTTTCCCAGGAATCCGGGTCAGGCCCTTCAATCCAACAGTTCAGTCTGAGGGCTCCTCACCGCCCTCTCTTCCTCTCCCTCAGCCCTTCTGATGGCTCTGCCCAGCCATGCACCCTGGGAACGACCGTCAGCACCCTCGTGGAGGCTACGAGGTAGACAGAGGGTCTCTCGGTGCCAGCAGCCGCCTCCGGGTCACTAAGATGTTGTAGATGCGGACATGTCACAACCACCTGCGGGGCTGCAATACCAGGAGGCGAAGGGAGTGTGCTTGGGTCGGGAAGGGGCGGGTGGCTGCGAACAGGATCCTGAAAGAGGTCTCTTTTACCGGGAAATTGACTGGAATGTTGTTATCCCGGACTCCGGCGCCCGGAAACGCTTGCAGAGGTTTAGGATGTTGGGGTAGGCTCGCTGAGGCCGGGGAGAGCCTTCTTCGGCACTTTTCTTGATGTTTAGTCCCCAGCAGCCCCTCACGGGCGGGACCGACAGTCTTCGGGTTCCCGGCCCTCTGCGCTGGGACGGATCCCAGCGCTGCAGGTGCTCTGTGCACCCTCAGAGCGTACCCGCCTCGGGCCCGAGCGCGGTGAGTCGCGGGTGCGGTCGGTGGAAACGCAGTTTTCCCACGGAGGGAGGGAGAAGCGCCACAGCGTCTCCTCCCCCTACCTCACCCCATTCACCCGTGGGGTCTGGGGGAGACCGCGGGGGACCGGCGTGTGTGGTCTCCCGACGCAGCTCGACTCTATTTTGGCGGCGGCCGGCGGAGGGGCGGGGGGCGCAGCGGGAGCCCAAGACCGCCCGCGCGGGCGCGAACCCCGGAGCGCGCGTCCCCCGTGCGCGCGCAGTCCGCGTCTCCGGCCCGAGCGCGCTCCAGCTTTGCCCCCCACGCGGAGCCGGAGCCGCGCGGAGCTCCCGGGAGGGACGCCTCGCCCAGCCCGCGGCGGGTCTGCCGGACGGAGGAGAAGCGAGGCCGCTCTGTGCTTCTCTCTCGTCTTTCCTGTGCCTGTCTTTTCTGTTATCTGCAGAGCAGTTGATTCTGCGTTACAACCCGCGTGCCTTCCCCGTGTTTTCTTGTTCGTAAGTACAGAACGTTTTTGGTAAACATTTCCGCAAGTGATACACTTTAGGGTGTAGTTGGCCCATAAAAAAAGCAGTCACTGCGTTCTGTGGAGTCAGCTGACGAGGAAGGAAAAAAGACGAAAACTCAAGCCTTGATTTTCCTTCACGTTACAACGGAGCTGAGATTCAAAGCTCAAGACAGAACCCTCCAAATTCGGAGGGAAATTCCGCTCCGAAAGACTAGGAAAGTGCTACAAGAAAAGGCATAGGTCCTTCAAAAACTGGGGAAAGGAAGAAGGGCGGGATTGCCAACAGACAGATAATTACAGACCACTGGGAATCACATCCCTTTACTCCTTTACTTTTAGGATTAATTGAATGCAGTCTTGCTATAAAATTCACGAGTTCGTAACTCTATTTTATAAATGAAAAGTAGTTTTATTTACTTATTTCTGTTTGTAAAAACAAAATATGCTCATTATTGCGAAAACCAGTAGCTCTTAACTTCAAATCCTTTACTAATGATGGCCTAGTTTTTTGGGTTTTATTTATTTATTTATTTATTTATTTTTGTGGAGGGGGCATGACTTTCATTCACGAGGAAAATTAAATTGAAAATGTTTTACAGTATAAACAGAGAATGAGACACCCTACTTTTGTTTGGCTTGCAAAGTAACAAATACTTGAAGCCTATGTGTTAAACTTTGATCAATGATCATTCAATATGACTAACTTGTTTCAAATGGTTCAAATTTTAGCTTATTATTTCTGATTAAAAATCACAGAAAATATTAAGGTTGAAATTGATAAATTATAAATTATATTTTCTGGCTGTTTAGGCTAATAGAATGACACCAGTAAACACTAGATATAATGAATAATAATGTTAAAATATCCATTTGCTTTTTTTGAACTGCAAGAAAGATAAATGTGCAATATATATACATGGGCTTATTATGTGCTTTTAATAAACCTAATAGGAAAAGCTGTGACTGAAAATGCAAAATCCATCAGTGAGATTAAATATATGTATTAATGTAATAGCAGAATAAATAGATGATCAATAGAGCAACTCCTACTTACCAATAGGTGTAAGTCCATGCTTTAAAGACTCTCGTAAATCTCCAGTATCTGAATTAGAAGACATTCTTAGTAAAATTATAGGCAATTCTTTGGCTTAAGGCAGAAATCATTGAGCAAAAGAAAAAGTGCAGCTTGTCAAATTTCGTGGCCTTGGGAAGAACACATCAGACTACATTTACTCTTAGTGAAAGTCAAGAAAAAGCAAAAGAGAAAAAAAAAAAAGGGGAAAAAATCCAGAATTCATCAAGTTACAAGCAAGCCTTTCCCTGGACTCTGTACTTTTTCTAACATTAGTGACCTGCTGTAAACCATGTATCCAGTTTCATGATGGTTTCTAATCAGAAGAATGGAAACTTTTGATAGGCTTTGACTCATCACATGACTCTATGCAGGTTGATAAGAGGACCCTGTTATAAAGTGACAGCAAAAGAGATAAGAATTCTTGCCAGATAATGGCAAAGAAATGATTAACTCAGAAGTGGAGAGGTGCTATGCAGCACAGAGAGTGGAAAGTTGTAAAACTGAAGGGTCAGAAGATCAGACTCAGTGGATAAAACTCCAAACCAGCTAACCAACTTAGGCTAACTAAACTTTGGCTTGTGACATACCCCTTGATGTCATCACCTCTTTGCATAGAGGTGGACAGACATAGCTCTTCTGACCTCTGTAAATACATTTTAGATGATAACATTGACAGACATTAATTCTTTAAGTGATGACAAATGTGATCGACACTCTGAAACACTATAGGTAGCATTTCCAAGCTTATGGTCATTTATTTATTCATGTTGTGGTCAACCAACGTTTTTAACAGGCCTATTCATTAGATGAGGAGTTAACCTTAGGTTGTTCCTATATTGATCATTTGGCTAAAATGCAACCTATGTCTTTATTCCAAAAAAGTAAAACTTATGCTTTGAGATTAATGCTGGCAAAATGATGAATATGTAATACATCTTTCATAAAGTTATTATTCTTAGGCCGGGCATGGTGGTTCATGCCTGTAATCTCAGCACTTTGGGAAGCCGAGGCAGGCGAACCACCTGAGTTCGGGAGTTCAAGACCAGCCTGGCCAACATGGTGAAACCCCATCCCTACTAAAAATGCAAAAATTAGCCAGGCACGATGGCACTCGCCTGTAATCCCAGCTGCTCAGGAGGCTGAGGCAGGAGAATCACTTGAACATGGGAGGCAGAGGTTGCAGTGAGCTGAGATTGCGCCACTGCACTCTAGCCTGGGTGACAGAGCAAGACTCCATCTCCAAAAACAACAATAACAATAAAAAAACAAAACAAAACAAAAACTACTTTTTATTTATTTATTTTTTTATTTTAAGACAGGGTTTCACCATGTTTGTCAGGCTGGTGTTGAATTCCCGACTTCAGGTGATCCACCCGCCTTGGCCTCCAAAGTGCTTGGATTACAGGCGTAAGCCACCATGCCCTGCCAAAAACAATTTTTTTTTTTTTTTAAGACTGGGTCTCGCTCTGTTGCCCAGGCTGCCATGCAGTGGCATGATCTTGGCTCACTGCAGTCCCCGCCTCCCAGTTTCAAGCAATTCTACCGTCTCAGCCTCCCGAGCATCTGGGATTACAGGGGCACACCACCATGCCCAGTTAATTTGCATTTTTAGTAGAGACAGGGTTTCACCATGTTGGCCAGGCTGGTCTTGAACTCCAGATCTCAGGTTATCCACCTACCTCGGCCTCCA